ACATGTCAACCCTCCGCCTTGCCTCCGTTAACGCCACTGTCAGCCATGTCGCCCACTTCTCCAGCATGGTGCGCGTCGTCTTCAGGAAAGTCGACCGACGTGATACATCTCCAGACATCATACATTCAACAAATGGCTAGAGAATTTTCCAATATGAAACTTTTGTTTCTAAAAATATATTATGCCAATTAACCCATAATTTTCTCCTCCATCACTCGTGCCCAATGTTTCGTGTCCCCTTCGCCATCTCTTCATTTTTTCGCACTTTCTTCTTCTCATCGTTTTTTTTATCTCCGATGGCGTGTCATGTCGTTGCGTTTTGCACATTCTAATCTTGACTATCGATTGGTCATATTAGATGGTCTTTGTACATGAGTGCGCGACACCTTCTAGATATCCACTCCAACTGGCAGTTCGGACAACATACTAGTGGAAAATTCATTTTTTTTCACGAATGAGTCTAAATACCCTTACTAAAATATGCTTGCGGCACTCTACTCTTATTCACGACTGTCAAGCCATGTTTTCAGGCTCAGAAACACAAACTCAATTGAACTATAATAACAAAATGAAGCCGTATAAATTCAAGAAATGGGGTCAAATATTTCCAGCCGCAAAATATCTTGTTGCAAACCTATAATATATAAATGTAGGATTATACCAGTGAAAATTCAAAATCATATCCTCGTCCCGTGCGTGCCGGCGAAGGAAAGATCATGAGGCCCAGTGTGTCACGCTCACGCACCACACCAACGGCGTGAGCCGACCCGTCCAACTCCAACGGCCACCAACCAGCCGAACCCTCGACGGCGTCACCTTTGGAATCTCCTCCCCATATCCTGGATTTTTTGCGTGGTGGGGACGGACTCCGCGACCGCCTCTCCCCTCCCTTTTTTTTTTGAGGGAAGCCTCTCCCCTTCCTATCCGCTCCGGCCCCCACAAGTCACCCGTGCCGGTGCCGTAGCGCTTCTTCCTTCTCTCCCTCCCGTCCGAGCCGGCTCGGCTATAAAATCCCCGCCCCCTCCCGTCTCCTCTCCACACATCCGATCCGATCCAATCCAATCCAGCCCCCCTACGATCTCACCGGGAAACCTCCGATCCGAGCGAAGCGAAGGCTCTCTCGTCCTCCTCCTCAAGGTATGCGAGGCTACGGTTTCTTCTTCGCTCTCTCGTGCGTGCGTGCGTGCCCTTGGATCGATCGTTGCTAGCACCGCCCTCGATCCTGCTAGTCGTATGGATTTGGAGTAGATCTGTGGGTGGGTCGAGGCGTTATTGCTGTTGATCGATTGCAGCTCGTTCGGTTAGTCGTGGCTGATTAGGCCTGATTGTAGTTTTTTTTTTGTTTTTTAGGCCTGATTGTAGTTAACACGTCTCTCTTGATTATGCCGTGATTTTCGAGCAGATCTGCCGATTATGATGGGATTGCTGTGGGGTCGGTTCGTCTTAGTTCTGCTTGGTTGTTATTGTGGATTTTTGATTATGTACCGCTCATGAGCCTCATATGTTGAAGGGTACACCTTCGTGGTATTACTGGGATGCGATGCGATTGCTGTTGGTTCGGTTCATCTATCTCGTTATAGACTTAGTTAGCTAGTTTCTGATTTTGTAGCCCTATGATCTGTGGAAGGATACACCTATGATTTGCTAGATTAATAGTTCAGCTTTGTAGTTGCTTGTAGCGTCCGTAGTTGGGCATTGAATTCAACTCTTAAATTCATGTCGGTTTGCCGATATTACTGTTGGTTTCTAGGCTTGTTGACAAGCTTCTCAGTACAACCAGATTACATCAGCTCCTATTGAAACTGCGCTGGTAGATATGCTATTCCCTCCGTCCCATAATATAACAGCGTTTTTGATACTAGTATAGTGTCAAAAACACTCTTATATTATGTCAATCCATTGGCTTGTTCTAGTGGCCAGCTCCTGGGCAGTTTGCTGTCAGCTCTCTAGCTGATTTCATCTCTGTTGCAATTTCATCTTTGTAGCATGGTGGCCATCTGGTTCATCTATTGTTTGACGTACTGCAGATATCCCTGTACTGTAACTTAATCTGCTTCTGTCTGCTTTGTATTTACAGATGCAGATCTTTGTGAAGACCCTCACCGGCAAGACCATCACCCTTGAGGTCGAGTCCTCTGACACCATTGACAATGTCAAGGCAAAGATCCAGGACAAGGAGGGCATCCCCCCGGACCAGCAGCGTCTCATCTTTGCTGGCAAGCAGCTCGAGGATGGCCGCACCCTTGCGGACTACAACATCCAGAAGGAGTCCACTCTCCACTTGGTGCTCAGGCTCCGTGGTGGTATGCAGATCTTTGTCAAGACCCTCACCGGCAAGACCATCACCCTGGA